GTGGGAGGAAATCTGGTGACCTGGAAGAGCAAGAAGCAAAGTGTGGTAGCAAGGTCAAGTGCTGAAGCTGAATATAGAGCTATGGCACATGGGGTGGCTGAAGTCCTTTGGCTAAAGAACCTTCTAGGGGAGCTTGGAGTTGTTGTTCATAGTCCTATGTCCCTTTACTGTGACAACAAGGCTGCAATAAACATCGCCAACAACCCATTCCTACATGAGAGGACCAAGCACATTGAAGTGGATAAACACTTCACAAGGGAGAAACTGGAAAAAAGGGAAATTTGCCTCACTTATGTTAACTCCAAGGAACAACTTGCTAATGTCCTTACAAAGGGGCTTCCGTGCTCGCGGCACAATGAATTATGTGACAAGCTGCGCATGATAGGCATCTTCAGCCCAACTTGAGGGGGAGTGTTGTAAGGCTTACTTAATTGTTACTTTATAGCTGTTGTTAGTAGGCTGCTGGACAGTTACAGTTACTTTTTTTTTCTTCTTTCTTTTTTTTTATTATTCTGATTCTAGGATATGCCGCCAGGGGCATACTTGTAATTTCAGATTCTTTTATGAAGTTAATATAAATAGAAAACTGGCGGCAGCCAATAGATACTTTTCTCTCAACCGTACCTCTCTCTCTCTCTCTCTCTCCCAATCCCCACGAATCACCACATAATGCTTAAGCACATGCCAAAGGTTAGGTCTGTATCCAATCCATCCCTACCAAGAAGCATAGCAGTCATTGATTGTTCCTATCTTACAAGGAGAAAACATAAGATTAATGCCAACTTTTTATGGGAACAACAACTAAAAAGGATGTCAATACGAATGCCTGTAACATAAGACTTCATTTTATAAAGTAAATTATATTAAGAGTTAAGCCAATTATGAATTTATACCTTTGATGACCTTAGTTCATTTACAGCCATTCGAAGAGAATCATCAGACAATATCAACCGTGATAGAGCACCTGTACTTAACCTGCAATTTGAAAAGGGGAACAAATTCATTTTACTTACAGTCCCATTAGCATCAATATATCTATTGGATTTCAAAAGCCAAACATGTTTACTACACTACCACGAGCATAAACATCTTGCAAGGGACTTAAAACATATAGAGAGCCAAACAATAGCAGAAATGAGAGGGTTAACTTGAGAACCATATCTAATATACCCCAAGTACTTTGCTGCATCTGATATGGAACCATCAACTGCGAAAATTAGATCCAACAAGGCTTGCATTCCCTGTGCAATAAAACAAATGATGGTACCTTGATATATTGTTTTGGTTGAGTTCCAGGTATAGCAATCTCAAATTGTACATAGAAACTACGCATAGGATACATGGTAAGTTCATACCAAGACAAATTTTGGGTTATTTGGTCCTATTTGTGGACCACAATCTGATGTTCTCATTGTTGACTTTGCAGGAAGAATCTGAAGAAGCTCCAGAGGAGGTCTGTACTCATCAAGGTTTAATTTGTTCCTGACTAGTTCAAAGAAAAATGTTCTATCCATCAGTGGAAACATACATGTTCATTTCATCAATGGAACTCAGAAATTCTTTGTGTGCAACCAATCAATTGAGAAATACATGCCAGTTTTAGCACATGATACCCAGATATAGCAACGACTGTTGACAGATCTAACCAGAATATACCCTATTTAATTTATGATTGTTTATGGGCCAGTTATTACTTTTTTTTCTGTTTTGTTTCTTCTTTATTGGAATTTCTTTCACTTAGCTGTCACTGGGCCGAGTTATCATTACTTCATTAGTTCTTTAATTGTTTCTGTTCGTTCAACTTATTAAGAGAAAAGTTGTATTTATGCATTCAGTTATAAGGAGTTAATATAAAATAAAGTAAGCTCCCACAATGAGACCCACTATTGGATTCTCTTCCTCCACATTCTTTCTCTCTCTTCTTGTTCTTGCACCTTTATTTTTCTGCAGTCTTTCATACTTTTATCTGCTACTTTCTTTTTATTTATTCTTGAAGATTTACTACTCAAAACATCAAGTAGGACAATGCATGAATGAGACATAGAGATTAACTAAATATTGAAGTTCCAACACCTATAGGACCCAATTTTAATCAGGTGCCTAACAAGGGAGATTGGGGTAGACTTTAGGTGGTCAAGAACAGCGAATGGATTGGCCTTGTAATTCTGAGATACTTTAAGGGATCAGCACCCTCTCTTTGGGTGGTTGACAGTTGTACTGTTTAATTTAATTGAACAAAAGTTACTGTTTCCAATAAAAAATGTTATTTGATATACCTCAACATAGAGAAAGGAAATCTTGAGAAAACTGAAATGGTAATCAAGTATAGTTGCAACTACCAATCTCCTCTTAGCTGGAGGCACTTGTAACGGGAAGGATTGGAAACCCCCCTCCCCCCCTCCCTAAGCATGTTGGTTATGAAATCTAAATTGGGAAGGGAGACAAGAACATGACCTTGCTTATATTTCCTATTACACTTTTAAATACATGGGATGATGAAAGACCTCCCAAGACCTTGTAAACATGGATATAAACTAATTGGGGTTTATCTTGAAACTTATTAGGGTTAGTTTGTAAGAAACCTTATTACCCTAAGAACTGTTAGCCAGTTTGTTTCTGCTTTACGTCAGCCCCATTTCTTTCTATTGTTCTTTGGATCATCTGTTCTGTTAGGGGAACATTGTCCCATCGACTATTTTCTCATCCTCATCCACTATGTTGCTTAGAGCCTATGTTGATGCTGACTGGGTGGGTTGTCCTGACACTCGCTGCTCTACTCCTAGTTGATGTATATTTCTAGAAAATTTCCTAGTCTCTTGGAAATGTAAGAAGCAAGAAATTGTCTCCAAGTCATCTACTGAAGCGAAGTATAGAGCAATGTCCTCTATATGCAGTGAGATAATTTGGCTCAAGGTTCTACTTTGTGATATGAATGCTCAGTCCACTCTTTGCTAATAACACAAATGCCATCAAGATTGCATCCAACCTTGTCTTCCATGAGCTTACAAAACACATTGAGGTGAACTGCCATTTCATCAGAGATCTTCTTGTTGGTCACATTTCCCTCCCACATGTCTCTTTTAGCTTACAGCTTGTTGATCTCTACACCAAAGCCATGACTAGGTGTTGATCTCTACACCAAAGCCATGACTAGGGCCAAGCATAATTTCCTTATGGACAAATTGATGGTTGTTCCCCAGCATCAGTTTGAGGGGGAGTGTAGAGAAGAGGGTAGTTTTGCCATTTTATTTCTTGTATGTACATTATTGGGTGTGTACACTATAGTACTGACTTGTATAGTCCTATATTTTACTTCTTTTGTAAGAATAATCTTGTTCATTTACCATTTAATATAAGGGAAATTGTCCAAAACCCACGATCACTTTTTATGAATTCTCTTAAATTCACCACAACTTTTCAAAACGTCCAAAACTCACCATGTCAAATGAGTTTTATTTTCCAAAACTCACCTTCTGTTAGTGCACCATTAATGTTTCTTAACATAAGTGGCCAACACTTTTCATGACCAAATTACCCTTGAATGGCAAATTAGGGGAAAAGGGTCATTTAGGTTAGGGTTAGACCGAAATTCTCTCTCTTTCTCTCTCTGCTCTGCCTCCTTCGCTCAGATCTGGCCGCCGCACCATCTTCTCTCGCTCAGATCTTGAAGGTAGTCACTGCATCACCCTCTCTCTTGCTCAGATCTGGTAGCCGCACCACCTTCTCTTGCTCAGATCTTGAAGGTAGTCACTGCATCACCCTCTCTCTCTCGCTCAAATCTAGCAGCCGCACCACCTTCTTTCGCTCAAATCTTGAAGGTAATCACTGCATCACCCTCTCTCTCGCTCAGATCTGGTCGCCGCACTCAGATCTGGCCGCCGCACCACCTTCTCTCGCTCAAATCTTGAAGGTAATCACTGCATCACCCTCTCTCTCGCTCAGATCTGGCCGCCGCACCACCCTTTTCGGATCTTGTTGCCACCATAGCACCTTCTCTCTCACTTAGATCTTGAAGAAGATGATCTACTGGTTTGAAGATTTGAAAGTAGAGAACTAATGGAGAAAAGAGAACGAGAAGTAGAGAACAATAGCACAAAGGAAGAAGATGGAGAAAAGAAGAGGAAGAAGAAGAAGAGTTCAAATATCTCTTCCCTCCCTTCTCTAATCCTTTTACTAAACTTCAATCTTAGGTTAATTACAAATATGCCCTTAAGTGGGCGGCCAGCTAGGCAGTAACATAAAGAGAACTAACAAAAAGAAATAATAGGCCCATAAAGATAGGTCCATTAACTAACAAATAAATAAATAACATACTACAAGAAAAGATACTAGGGCCCATTCGGCTCAGTCTCTCTACACTCCCCATCAAGCTGAGCATAGATGTCAATCATGCCCAGCTTGCTTATATAGTGTGTCAGCTTGCCTCTTGGAACTCCCTTGGTTAAAATATCAGCCAACTGTTCTTCTAAGGTGATGAATGGCAAGCAAACTTCTCCTGAGGAAACTCTTTCCCGTATAAAATGTCTATCAACCTCAATGTGCTTAGTTCTGCCATGTTGAACAGGATTATGTGCAATATTGATAGTTGCTTGATTGTCACAGTAGAGCATCATTGGCTTCTCATAGTCAAACCCCAATTCTTCTAAAAGTGATTGTAGCCACAGTAATCTGACACACCATGTACCATTGCCCAGTATTCTGCTTCAGTAGAGGATCTAGAAACTACTACAGATTGTTTCTTACTTCTCCTTGATACAATGTTCCCTGCCACCAAACCACAATAACCTGAGGTGGATCTCCTATCATCAATACAATGTTCCCTTCCAGCTTCATGTGTCCATGTTTGGAAAATATAATGCTTTTCCCTGGAGTACCTTTCAAGTAACACAGAACTCTTTCTGTAGCAGCTAAATGAGTATCTATGGGAGAATGCATAAATTGACTAATAACACTCACTGCATAAGAAATGGCCGATCGAGTCATGCAGAGATATAACAACTTCCCAAGCAGTCTCTAAAATACTCCCCTATCAGATAAAAGTTCACCATTTGTAGCAGAAAGCTTATGATTGGGATCAATAGGAGTGGAGGTTGGTTTAGCACCAAGTTTACTAGTCTCAGCAAGGAGGTCAAGGACATATTTGCGCTGAGAAATGAAGATACCATCCTTAGATCTAGCAACTTCAATGCCCAAAAAATATCAGAGATCTCCTAAATCCTTGATCTCAAATTCAGAGTTAAGAAACCTTTTGAGTTTACTGACCTCCTGGGTGTCATTACCTGTGACCACAATATCATCAACATAAACTATTAGACAAGTCACCAAAGAGCCACTTCTTTTCAAGAACAAGGTATGGTCAGATTGAGTTTGTATATAACCAAATGAGACAAGAGCAGCCCTGAACCTCTCAAACCAAGCCCGAGGAGACTGTTTGAAACCATAAATGGATTTCAGCAGTTTACACACATTCCCTTGCATTTCCTTTCCATACACTCCCGGAGGCAAAGTTATATAGACCTCTTCATGTAGATCTCCATTCAAGAAGGCATTTTTAACATCAAGCTGGTGGAGAGGCCATTCAAAAAGTAGCAGCTAGGGACAACAAAACCCAGATGGAGGTCATCTTAGCCACAGGAGCAAAGGTCTCAAGATAGTCAATACCGTACATCTGAGTGTAGCCTTTAGCAACCAGCCTGACCTTAAATCTCTCCATAGAACCATCATAATAATATTTAATGGCAAATACCCATTTACAACCCACTGGTTCCTTCCCTTCTACCAAGTCAACAATATCCCAGGTACGGTTCTTATGCAAAGCATCCAATTCAGCCATCCCATCATAGCATTCCTCCATTCAGATTTAGATAGGGCTTCTGATACAGACCTAGGTATCACATGGGAAGAAACAAAAGCAAGAAAAGAGTAGTAGGTAGAAGATAGAAGGCTATAGGACAGGTGTTTAGAGATACAATGGGATGTACACTTTCGCTTGCCCTTGTGAAGAGCAATGGGAAGATCAAGGTCCGGGAAAGAAGTAGATGGGTCAGAGGAAGGGTGACTTGTTACCTTAGTAATGATGGGAGGAGAAAGAGGCTCTTCTGTAGGAGTGAAAACAACTTGCCCATGTCTGAATCTGTGTCTTTGGTACCACCTTTGGAGAACAGGATGAGGAGGAATTACAGGAGGGTGAGGTGGAGGAGGAGCAGGAGCAAGAGTACTGGAGATAGGTCCAGTGGGACAAGTGGACACCTCATCAGATGACTCAAAAGAAACAGGAAGAGTAACTACTGGAGAGATAGAAAAGGGTTCCTCAAATCTCTCCCCCTCAAGAGGAATACTAAAGAAAGTAGACTCAACAAATGTGACATCCTGAGATACAAAGCGGTTGCCACTAACCAGATCAAAGCAGCAATATCCCTTCTGCGTGGGGGCATATCCTAAAAAAACACATTTACGAGCCTTAGGTTCAAATTTGTGCCTTTGATG